GATGGTCTTGTGTTACTTAGGCCCGTAGCCCGAGCTGTACGATCCCGTATCCTTTTACACTTGGTATTGCGAAAGTTTAGAGTCCTTCAGTACAAGGGACTTGTGCACTTGGTACCGCGAAAGTTTAGAGTCCTCCAGTACAAGGGACTTGTGTTACTTAGGCCCGTAGCCCGATTTAACATAGCAAAACTGGTGTTACTTAGGCCCGTAGCTTGATTTAACACCTACTGCTTCAAATAGACGACGTCGTGAATTGGATGTAGACCATCAACGGGGACGAGGGCGTGGGCGAGGACGAGGTCAAGGTCGTGGTCGAGGTCGTGATCCAGTTTCGGTAGAATATGATATTCCCAGTGCCAGCCAAAGTGGGGGCCGAAGCCAAAGACGAGTTGAAGGTTATGATATGCCTGACATTGGTGTGGAGGATACCTCTTTACCTGATTCTCCTCCTGTCCAGGAAGAGTACCTTACTCATGCTTTTCCAGGTGGACCGAATGATCCGTCAATACTGCGGAGTTTCAATAGTCATGTGGCTGCAGCTATTTGGCACGGGGAGGTAAACATTCCTCAGTAAAATTGAAATTCATTTGTATATGAGTTGTTTTTTTTTTTTTGTGTGTTGTATGGTAGTTTGTAATGAGATATCATTTGTGTTGTAGGAACGAGGGCCCCTAAAGTGTCATAATCACTCTTCCAAGATCCTTGCATGGCCATGGTGGTTAGTAGAGAACAACACCAGATTCAAAGCCATTATTGAGCAGTCTGGACTGTCACAGTTAGCTCGTTGCACTTATCGGTTCGTCAACAAGCTTCTAGTCTCATGTTTTGTTGAGAGATGGCAACCTGAGACGAACACATTTCACATGACAGTTGGTGAGATGACCTTGACCCTGGATGATGTTGGCACTATTCTTGGCCTTCCCATTGTAGGCAAATCAGTCAGCATACCAGATGTGACAGATCATCATGGAGTTACATTACTCGTTTATGGCTTGGGGATTACTGAACGTGCAGCATATGAAGAGGTTTCTTCTGCTGGTGGCAATTCAGTCAGGCTTGAATGGTTGCGAAGTCAGTTTGCTGGTGTCACAGATTCAGACCCTGAGGATGCTATACAGTGCGCTGCATGAGCTTATTTATTATTTCTGTTGGGATGTACACTCTTCAGTGACAAGAGTGGCGGCAGGGTTCCCGTTGTTTACCTCGGCTTGTTGATGGATTTGGGATCCATACATACTTATGCCTGGGGTGCTGCTGCATTAGCATTTTTATATCAACAGTTGGGGTTTGCTAGCCGGTCTGGGGTTAAGCAAATGGGTGGTTATATGACTCTTTTGGAGGTGTGGATTTATGAGCACTTCCGAGCATTCCGACCTCATCAGAACATGGGCTACAATGAAGACATGCCACATGTGTACTATTGGGCATCTAGGAGAGAGGCGGGTTCCTCCATTGACCATTTGAAATCTTTTCGAGCCGAGCTTGACAGTTTAGTAGCTACTGATGTAAGTTTACTCATCCTGCGATAATTTTAAAACTTCCATTTATCTTACCCTTTATGTACTTTAATGCAAAAACACTTTACGTTTACAGGTTATTTGGGATCCATACCACAGCTGCAGAGACCGGCATCCATGTAACCCGGTTATGTTCTACCATGGATGCTTAAAGTGCTTAGACGTTGTCGAATCGTATCATCCAGATAGAGTTTTGAGGCAGTTTGGCAGGGTTCAAACCATCCCAGATGCACCGCTAGCTCCTAGTCGTGGTGCACGAGGCAACATATCTGCATGATATACCGTCATGTACAGATACTTGGATAGGATGTGGGAGGCTTGGGATAACCACGTGTTGTCTACGCAATGGAGGAGCACACCAGTTCGTCAGCCTTGACAATGTATACCGGGTTACATGGATTGGTATAAGAATATCACGCACCTATATGTCGAGCACACTGATGAACCGCGTGTCCATGACCATCAGGATTTCAGCGAACATGCGGATGTAATCTATTATCCTCTCTGATGCATATGTAACTTACTTTTTTTTTTTTTTGATATGTTCCCTAAAATGTGATATTCTTTTCAAATGCAGCGTATTGCACATGCACTGCAGATTTCACATCCTATTATTGACGCTGGTTATCAGGAGGGGATTTGCCATCCTTATCGACTTTACTAGGCTATCGAGAGTATGACACATGTTCTTGAAGGTCAACACATTGACGAAGCTGGACCTAGTTTTGCTGGAGGTCGCTTTCCATCTTCGACATTGACATATAGTCGTAGGCCTAGGCGTAGGCATACAGCTGATTCGTGACATGTTATGTTGTTACATGTTATTTTGTTAGTTGATGAATATTGTTTGGTGTTTTTTGTAAGATGACATTGTTGTAATGGTAACAGTGGTTAATATTTTCTTATTAGAATGGAATGGCAACAATGGTATTGTAATGACATTGTAATGACCTTTTATTATTAGAATGGAATGGTAACAATGGTCGTTCATTTTGTAAATGATATTTTCTTATTACAATGGAATGGTAACCATGGTCGATAACATTCAATCCACATTGAAAAACATAACACATCAACATAAAAAACACATCCATTAATTTCTTCCATAATTGTAACATTGTCAAATGCATACATGTGTCATGCGACATCAACAACATCAAAAGTCTCTCGAGTAGCTACATTATCATGAATAATGTCCTTGAAATGTTGAATGCGACGCACATATGCATCATCCCAGTCCACAGCGCAAGGGTGACGGTATTTTCTCCAATTAGTGGCAATAGGAGGAACTGGATGGCCTGGCTGCAACAAAACCTGCACCAAATATCAATTGACTTAGTGGTCATACCTCATAACTTCTTGTACATGCATTAACGCAATTGATAAGTTTCTGTTATACCTGCACGAAATGATTTCCGTTGACAAACCCAATGACAATCTCACGTCTATCAAGTTGAGGTACTGGCACGGTTCTAAGAGGTAAAAAGGTGAGACATTGCTGTAAAGACAAGTGGTATAACACAAGATTGTAGAGCGATCCCGGGTTTACCCTTGTTATTACATCAAAGAACAAACATAACAAAAGTTCCGCCTGCCTCTAGCCTCCCAAGCTTACGTTCCTTGGGAGGTGGCATGCTACCTGTACCTGAAAATGATATTCCCATATAGGTGTGAAGCCACAGCCAGGAGAAATATACTAAACCAACCATGAACAATGACTAAAATATTAGCAAATTGATAGGATGCGCCAACACTGATACATTCACATAAATCACACATTTTTATGTCATGACGACTTATGAGTCCCAAGTCCTTTCATTCTTTCTTTCAACGGATAGGTATATAAGCACTACCCACATTCTCAACAGAATATGATTAACAACATATCCACAGATAAGGCATATAAGCTATATCCACATCTACAACAGATATGTATAACCACAATATCCACAGATTAAGCATAAAAAGCTATATCCACACATCACAAAGATAAGCATATAAGCTCTATCTTCACTTCTTAGACAAGCATATGAGCTTATCTACGGAGATTCATTCCCCTATCTTCCTCCCAACCACTTATCCGGTTTAGAGGTACAACCCCTAGCTTCCCCTTAAACCGCGGATACACTCCCCATCTCCTCCTCCTACACATTAACGTATTACAACACAAGGTTCTATATTACAATCACTCAATACATATAGTTAATGTATTCTATCAACGCGTCAAGTTTCAGACACGCTTCATTGATTAGTTCAGTTTGGCCTAATCATCATGCCATCTGTCTACAACAATTCACGAATATCCTCCACCTATTAGCCCAAGAGTTATTTCTAAACAGAAAAATAAATGCCACAATGGATATTCAACAACATTTCATTTCCTCATTTTTCTCAATATTAATTATCCCAATTAATTAAACATGTAATTAGGTCAATTCCATAATTAATATTTTCAACCCTTTAGGTCCCCATTTTCATCATGATTCATCATTTAATATTCCATTTCTCTATGCCAAACATGCATCTAGGTTTATTATGAATAATAAACCCTAACTTTGTAAAAATTACACAAAAGCCCGAAAACTTTCACCAAAATTACCCAACCAACCCCAACATCTTTCAAAATACTAAAATTTAAAGACAAAAACTCATAGAGAGGAGAGGATTATCCCTTACCTCGAAGTTTGAGCCAAAAAGGAGATGAAGACTCGAAGACCAACGTGCTCCAAATCCAAACTTTTTCAGATTTAAAACAAAGTTCACACCCGTCTATCTCTTTTTACAAAGGCTCAGGCTAGATTCACACTCTAGGGAAGATCAATTCTTAGAGAGAATATAAGTGTAGTAGAGGGAGAGAGTCTCGGATCTAGGGTATTGATCAAAAAAAGAAGATGAAAAGTGAGGTTCAAACGCTACTGTCCGCTGATATAAACACGCTCGCTCGAGCGCAAGACTTTGGTCGCTCGAGCGACCAGGACACAGAAACTCTCGCTCGAGCCAAGAAGCTCTCGCTCGCAGCCAAAAAAATCAAAAGTGCGCTCGAGCGAAAGAATCCGCTCGAGCCAACTACTCGAACCCTCAGGCTGCAAACCAGACGCACGCTCGAGCGACAGACCCTCTCTCTCGAGCGAAGAACAACCAGACCGCTCGAGCCAAGAAAAGCCGCTCGAGCCAAGGAAATACAACTCTCAGGTCCAGAACCAGGTGCAAACGCGCCTCGGCTTCGAGCGAAGCCACACTGGCTCGACACCCACAGACACGAACTTCAACTCTCGCTCGAGCGACCAACTCCTCGCGTGGCGAAGGTCCAGAAATCTGGTGGCAGCAACACTTAGGGGGCTCCCAAGCACAACAACCTGTTAACCAAAACCTGCCCAACACATCCTATACTTCAATATACAAGTTAAAAAGGATGCAAACGGATAATAAACAACTACCAACATCTACGGACACATGTTCGGATCACTGTAC